TTTTTTTTTTTTTTTTTTTTTTTCTTTTCCTAGATTAGGTGTTCTGGTTTATTGAGGTGTGGGACATGCATTCTAGTTTAGAAGTGATCTACTATTCCGCAAGCCGGAAATAATTGAGAATCATAAGTTATAATTATATGAAATATGTTCGTAAAGTTTAAGGCAGAAGCAGGGTCACAAATTTAAAGATAATCTCATTGGCTATTTTTTGGATTCTGAATAAATTATGCGGAATTAAAAGTAGAAGTTGACGTTTGAAAACACTGAATGCTGCATTTCCTCTTAGCCAAAATCTGACAATCATTTTCCTTTTTTTTTTTTTAATTATTTGCTATGGTGAATGATCTGTATTTCATTGTTACCTCGTTGATTCTGTTTTGATCCTTTGTCCAGATTCAGTACCTATACGGACAGTGAATAGACAATGTTCATCTGGTCTCCAAGCTGTTGCTGATGTTGCTGCCTTCATCAAAGCCGGATATTATGATATAGGTGAAAAAGTGTTGATTTTTATATAATGCACGTGAGCCATGAAGAGGCATTTGTGTCTTAAATTTGAGCGTTCGTTGCAGGCATTGGTGCTGGGCTGGAATCCATGACAGTAGATAATATGGGTCAGATTAAGATGGTCAACCCGAAAGTATGGATGAACTTCCCTTCTTTTCATGAATAAATTCACATAATGCCTCGCTACTGAAAAATTTCAACTGGGCATAATAATGATGTTTACAGGTAGAGAGTTTTGCAAAGGCTCGTGATTGTCTGCTTCCAATGGGCGTTACATCTGAAAATGTTGCTGAACGTTATGGTGTGACTCGGGAAGAACAAGATCAAGCTGCTGTGAGTTTATCTCTTAAATTTTACTTTTTATTTTTTGTTTTGTTTTGTTGTTTTCCAAGAATGTTAATCCCAAGAAGAAGAAAGAAAAGGAGATTTAAAGACGTGATGTATAAAACCAGACAAAAAAAAATCATATTCCTCTTAAATTGCATTAATAGGTCATCTCTCACCAACGTGCGGCTGCTGCACGTGCATCAGGAAAATTTAAAGACGAGATAATTCCGGTGTTTACTAAGGTAACACACAGCCTTGGAATATTCTATTTCAGTTATATATAAAATACAAGTAATCTGCCTAAAGTTTCTAACTGGAATAATTGAACTCCAAAGATTGTGGACCCTGCAAGTGGCGAAGCAAAGCCTGTTACCGTCTCAGAAGACGATGGGATTCGGCCCAACTCGAATATGAGAGATCTAGCAAAGTTGAAACCTGCATTCAAAAAAAATGGATCCACAACTGCTGGTAAGGAACAAAAGAAACAAAAAAATTTACTATGGCCATATGTAAAAATCTAAGTGATTATTTTGTTTGTATGTCTCATAAAGTCCTAACTAAAATGCGGTATATAATTTAATGATCAGGAAATGCAAGTCAGGTGAGTGATGGTGCTGGAGCTGTTCTTCTCATGAAACGAAGTTTGGCCTTGCGAAAGGGGCTTCCAATTTTAGGCGTATTTAGGTGAAAATATTCTTTCTAGTTTACTGATGCATTTATTTACCTACAGCAATTATTCTATTATATTTTTTTATTTTTTTTGTAAGTGCATGCTATTATTAGATACAGAAAATAAGAAGACTCGTAGCTATATTAATTAATAATTATGATGTGCTATGTTATCTAGGAGTTTTGCTGCTGTGGGTGTTGAACCTGGTGTTATGGGTATTGGCCCAGCTGTTGCCATTCCAGCTGCAGTGAAATCGGCCGGCCTTGAGCTTAAGGACATTGACTTGTTCGAGATAAATGAGGTACTTATTTGATCGCTTGATGGAATTCTTAAATACAAATATTATAATTTTTAGATACATTTTAATAACAAGGAGTCTGCTATGAAATTTCACAGGCATTTGCTTCCCAGTATGTGTACTGCTGCAAAAAATTGGGTCTTGATACCAATAAAGTCAACGTCAATGGAGGAGCAATGGCCCTTGGGCACCCGTTGGGAGCCACAGGTAAAATATACATAAACAAATCTATCCACTTGTTTGACTGATCGAATGTTAAAGGCCAGTCCGAAATCTGCGTGTAATTCAGGGGCCCGTTGTGTTGCCACTCTACTTCATGAGATGAAACGTCGTGGAAAGGACTCTCGTTTTGGTGTAATATCCATGTGCATAGGTATATCTCTTGTTCTCTACAGATTTTAGATTCTTCTATGGTGTATCACAAAAAGATACCCCATGGACTTCAGTCCAATTTACAAAAGTAAATAGGAGATATTGAAAAAGAAAAGAAAAAGAAAACAAAGCAGAACAATGGTACTCATAAAAAACCCTCCTAATTTTCTTAATGAATCAAAGCTAAAGACATGTTTACGTAGTTTTGGATATTAATGAAAGCAAAACTCTCAAGGGTGCTTTTAGCAATTATTCCCTATACAACTTTAACATCATTTGATACGTCGAACATAATTTGATTTGGTTTGGTTCCTCGAATTTGTAGGCTCCGGTATGGGCGCTGCTGCTGTTCTCGAAAGAGGTGACTGAGTTGATTTGCCACTCCAATGGGACGAGTCAAAAATTAGCTTCTTGTCCATGGATGCAAAGTGGCCAACCACTGTCCATCCAAAAATGGGACATGAAAGCTAAGGAGATTGTAT